CACGTGGGCACCTGTAGGCTCATGTTCAACCGGTTGTCACCCAGCACTCCCAGGTCCCTCTCTGCCAGCCACTCCTCCCCCAGTCGGTAGCGCTGCAGGGGGTTATTGTGGCCAAAGTGTAGGACCTTGCTCTTGGTCTTGTTGAACTTCATCCCATTGGCCTCAGCCCATCGACCCAGCCTGTCCAGGTCCCTCTGCAGGGCCTTCCTACCCTCCACCAGATCAACACTCAAATCATTGTTCCTCGTACGCTTGGCAGAATTATCTGTACTAAAACAGCTGCAGAGTTAGGGCTTACTACCAGCATCTCAGAGCATCACTTTTTAAGTTTCCACTGAGCTTCCCTCTTTAAAATTCGATGAAGTCATAAACAACGAAGAACAACTGTATATACTCATGACTACTGATTTTTTGAACAACTGCATTCTGAGGTCATAGAATCATAGAATGGCATAGGCTTGAAGGGACCTTAGAGATCATCTAGTCCAATCTCCCTGTTTTGGGCAGGGACACCACCTCTCGACTAGACCAGGCAACACATGGGGACCAAGTGGGAAGTACTCCAGTTCACCTGATTTTAGGATGAAGTGCAGCCAGTTGCTGAAAAAAAACCACCAACCAATCACTAGCAATATCAGAAGAGGTATTCTACTAACATATAGGGTACCTAACAGACTAAACAAAGACTAGAACAACTTAACAATTGTACTCACTGGAAATGCTATCTTTTTATTACCTTTCCTACTCACCTTGAGGTCCCGATGAATAAACCCTTCAGAATGAATATATTTCACTCCTTCTAGTATTTGTAAAAATGTGGTTTGTGCCATCTCATGATATTTTCGGTCTCGTCTATTCCTTTCTACCCAGTTTTCCAATGGCCCTTGTTCACATAATTCCATTTGGATGAAGAGACAGCGAATTTCTTTGTCTGACTTCTCCCTGCAAGAAAATTATATACCATATCGAAATTGGCAAGATACAATTTCTTCCCAAGCCATCAATGATTCTCAGGTTCCTCTTCCTTAAAAAAAACTTTTACTTATTATTATTTTTTGAGTTCCCCAAAACAAAGTCTGCAAATCCCTTAATTTTAAAAAAGATCTTAGACCAATTTGTACTAGATATAAATAGATAGAACTGCAAACCAAAGAGCTGCTGCTCAGTTGCTGTATCCCTCTGGAACATTCCTAACATTTTGGTCACTTCCTTGTTCACATTGAAAGTTTTCCAAGTGCCCAAATTCTGCTCCCATCATATCTAGAGACACGTCCTATATAGGAGGAAATAGCACTGCCCTCAGCTCCCATCTTGCCCTCTAGGAAGTGCTGCAAGTCCCTGGCAGGTACTCTCTATTCTGCTCAACACATAGAGCATTAGCCTTCCTCTCTTACCCAGAATGATCACATTCTTTCAAAATCTGTCCCTTCAGGAAGGTAGTGTGGTGACCATCTTTGACATTGGTCTGAGAGTTAGAGAAACTGGTTGAGTGACAGAGCTCAGAGGGTTGTGATCAACACTGCAGGGTCGAGCTGGAGGCCTGTAGCCAGTGGTGTTCCCCAGGGGTCAGTACTGGGTTTGGTCTTATTCAACATATTCATCAATGAACTAGACGAAGAGACAGAGCATACTCTCAGCAAGTTCACTGAGGACACAAAACTGGGAGGTGTAACTGACACACCAGAGGGCTGTGCTGCCATCCAACATGACCTGAAGAGGCTGGAGAGCTGGGCAGAGAGGAACCTAACGAGGTTCAACAAGGGCAAATGTAGAGTCCTGCATCTGGGGAGGAACAATCCCACACATAAGTATAGGTTAGGGGTAGGCCTGCTTGAAAGCAGCCCTGAGAAGAAGGATCTTGAAGTCCTGGCAGACAGTAAGTTAACCATGAGCCAGCAATGTGCCCTTGTTGCCAAGACGACCAATGGTATCCTGGGCTGCATTAAGAGGAGTATGGCCAGTAGATCGAGGGAGGCCATCCTCCTCCTCTATTCCACCCTGGTGAGGCCACATCTGGTGTACTGTGTCCAGTTCTGGGCTCTCCAGTTCACGAGAGACAGGGAACTGCTAAAGAGAGTCCAGCTGAGGGCAACGAAGATGATTGGGGGACTGAAGCATCTCTCTTGGGAAATTTTGAAAGAACTGCTACTGTTTAGCCTGGGGAACAGAAGGCTGAGAGGAGACCTTGTCAATACCTACAAATATCTAAAAGATAGGTGCAAGGAGGATGGAGCTGGACTCTTTTCAGTAGTGCCCAGTGACAGGACAAGAAGCAACGAGCACAAGCTGGAACACAGGAAGTTGCATTTAAATATGAGAAAGAACTTCTCTACTGTGAGGGTGACAGAGCACTGAAGAGGCTGCCCATGTTGGTTGTGGAGTCTCCATCTTTGGTGACTTTCAAAACCCACCTGGGTGTAATCCTGTGTGATGTGCTCTAGGCAATCCTGCTTTAGCAGAGGGGTTGGACTAGATGATCTCTAGAGGTCCCTTCCAATTCTGATGATTCTGTGAAACCCCTCTGAGAGCTGGAAATCTAGATCAAATATATTTACCCACTCAGTGACGGCCTCATACTTTCCAGAAGAGTTCCCTCCCCATCGGCCCATAGGAAGGGCTCAGGCTGGAACCAGTGAAGGGAAGGAAAATATAAAGAGGAGGCGGCACCACTTTTTCCTTCTTGCACTGTGTGATACAAGTGCCCTGGAATAAAGACGCCTGGGGCACTGAAAGAACAAGCATTAAGTGTCCTGGAACTCTATGTAGCCTTGAGGTCAGGGCATAAAGTGGAATTCCAGGCCAGGACATCAGTTTTGAGGATGGGGTTTTTTTCCTATCTTTTACCCAATAACTGTTCAATACAAAATGTATAAGTGATAGAGACTCCCAACATATTAATGGTCGGGTTTTGATACAAGACTTCCCCCCCCCACCCATTTTATTCCTCATTTACTAAGCACACTGGACAGGTATCATGCCAACCATAATTTTAGATCCATTAATATTTTATGCCTCTGGGTTAAGTGTTAGGAATCTACAGCTAATGAAAAAAAGCTTACCACAGAAGCTTGGAAAAGTTAATAACATAAGCTATAAGTAAAACTCTCCCCACTGTCTTCCCAGAAGTCTTCACGTTGAAAGACTACCTCTAAATGAAAGAGCATTTAACTTTGTATTTCTGTTCTCAACAAAAAGAAGCCTGTTTCAGGCATCATGGTTAAAACGCTAAGTTAGAGAAATAATTAAATCTATGTGAGCCACTGGCTGACCAATACTTAATAAAAAAGGAAACTTCTGATCAAGAATTTGGCAGCCAACTGCCAGACAAATTTTAGTTTCTGTTGTTATTTCTAGACCCAAATGTTGAGTTCTGTATTCTTACATTCTTCTGTAGATTCAGCAAGCTCTGTATATTGAGAGGAGAAAGATTAAATTGCATTATGTACCTTATTCATCAAGAAAAATAAGATATAGATATATAGATATAGATATATTATATATGACTTGCTGCTGAAGAGTACTTTCCTAGCAGTAAGAAAGCAAATATGTGTATGCCTATATTTGTATAATGATTTATAACAAATCATCAGCCTTTCTTTTTACAACACAAAATTCACTGTGGCTAATGAGCTTGTGAGTGCAAACTACTGACTTGAGTTACCTTGAGTCTGGGTAAGTTACACGGTCGTATCCTTCCCAGCTACAATAATACCGCACTATGTTTTCATGATCAAGACTTGCAAGTCCTTTTACTTCACGCTCTACATTCCTATTTGGCAGAAAAGAAAAAAAAAAAAAGAAACTAAATGGCTTTTCCCTGCAAAAATTTAATACTAAGTTAAATAAAACACATTATATCAAGTAGCATTATACAGATAGTTTTACATTAATATAGAAAAGGTACATAATATTGTCCTTCATACAAGGGCAAAATTGTACCTAGAAATTGTGGGGCTTATTTCATCTCCTCAGTTATTCAAATTCCAAAAATGTTTTAACTGTATTAGAAATGAAAGCCCCACTCGCAAAAGGCGGAAAAAAGCAAATGTCTGCAATATGCAATTACCTCAGGTAGCAAACACCCATGTTTTCACCTCTGTAAAGTTTGTTTATATACATATAGAAGTCAGTGTAAATTCTCATGAGAACTACTACTAAATTTGGCCTGCACTTGTTGTTATAACATCACCTAGTAAAGTAAATTCAAACCCATCAGCAGACCAGCAATCTTTATTTGAAGAACCAGCAGGATGTTTTCTAATATAGTTCTCAGGTGTGCCATACAAATGAAAATAACATGTATTTGTGAGGGGCAGTTACACAACATAAGGGAAACAACAATTTGAAACTTTTTAAAGTAGATTACCTAAAAGAAAAAAAGTTTTTCAGCTGCTGATAAAATACTCCACTAGGCACTGGTCACAGAAAATTACTTTAAAAAAAAAAATAAACTAAGATCACCATTCTTTGTTGAGATTTATAAAGGACAAGTAACACAGTGTGAGAATAATGACTACCTGGGTCATATACAAAATGTACTACTTTCATTTTTTCTCTATTTTCCCTAATTACTGTGCTTATGCATTACTGATTGTAAATTTCCCACGTAACCTGTCAAAAGTAGTAGTGCTGCTTTTAATGTTTTTTAATCGGCAAGTTTTCTTCAAACATATTTTGCAATATTAATAACCAGCACTAGTGTGTTCAGACAGAGTAGAACTTAAATCTACTTTTTTACAGCTCCATCTGAAATTATTCCAGTGCGTGCCATAGAATCATAGAATTGTTTCAGTTGGTAAAGACCTTTAAGATCATCAAGTCCAACCGTTACCTAACTCTACCATTCCCACTTCTAAACCATGTCCCTGAGCACCATGTCGAGACGGCTTTTAAATACATCCAAGGATGGCAACGCAACCACTTCCCTGGGCAGCCTGTTCCAGTCTGATAATGCTTTCAGTGTAGAATTTTTTCCTAATGTCTAACCTAAACCTCCTCTGGTGTTACCTGAAGCCATTTCCTCTTGCCCTATCAGCTGTAACTTGAGAGAAGAGACCAACCCCCACCTCGCTACCACCTCCTTCCAGGGAGTCGTAGAGAGCAGTAAGGTCTCCCCTCAGCCTCTCCATTTTCAGCTTCAATTAGAGATAAAGAAAAGTTTACCAGAAAGAATGGATAATGAGTAGTGAAAATTCTTACACGCTCCCAGGATTATTCAAGACACAAAGAGTATTAAAAGCTTGATCAAGAGCGCCCTAAAATAAAAACCAGAAGTAAATACACTGTACGTACTTTGTGAATCGAACTCGCTTGACTGCATAGGTTCTCTCATCAAGCTTTCCTGTTGCTCTGAAAACATTCCCATAACCACCTTCACCAATGGGCTTTATATTTTTGAAGCTCTGAAGAAATCTTTAAAAAAAAATATATGTAACTAAAGTATAGTTAACATTAAGACATAAAAATGAGCTTGACAGATCTAATACATCTACTTAAACATGATTCGACAGGGATTACTCAATGCCTATACAGATCTAAATCATGGTCTTGAAGATTAAAAAAAACAAGGGAAACTGACACTTGAAAGCATGTAGAATAACTACCCTCATATCTTCACACAAATGACTTTTGGCTGTAAGCATTAAATATCATTGCATGTCAGCTGCACTACTACATTTGCAGTTTCCAGGAAAAAAAAACTTGGAAAGTTATTTTTACAGCAGTATTTTCCCACATTCTATTAGAAATAACCAAATAAATCTATACCACTACATACTGTAATTATCATACAGATCTTAAAAAAAATAATAATTCCTCTTACCTTGTATTCACAGTGCATGGACTTTCATTCTCCTCACTGGTATTCGTGTCCAAATTTGGCAAATTTTTATCTGACATCTTTTTCTCTTCCTTGTCTCTTGCGTTATCAAAAATAGCTGCCAATTTTCTTTATAAAGGGTAAAAGCAAACCTCGTGTCAAGAGAAATGTACCTCCCAAGAAGGGCATTTCTTTGCTGGATATTGAAACACTAAAGTGGTTTGCAATATAGTTTATGGGAGATACCAACTGAGAAACAAAACACATACCTTTTGGATTTCAGGGCAGAGTTTTGTATGCCTTGCTACAGGAAAAAAAGAAAAAGACTTGAGATATCCTGAATATTTGCACTGTACTTAGCTTAAAATATGTCTGAGAATGTATCTAGGAACTGTCTATAAATGTATTCATACCTTATATAAAAAAAATGTAGTGAGAATGAAGTCACATCTTAGCTTAAAGTCTTTCACACATGCTATGTATGACATCATCATTCTTTCCAACAGGAAAACAGGAGCTTAGTCTGATCCCCTTTCTTGGAAATACTGCCTGTTTGGTCAGCAGTATATAAACTGGGTCCACAGTATAGAAATCAATGACTAATGGCTAACACTATGAAAGTACTGAATATTCTTAGGGAAAAAGCCCATATGCTTCCGAGCAATTAGCAGATAAAGGAACAAACTGATGCTTCACACTAACAAGAAACTTGCTTTGGTCAAGATCTAAAAATCTAGTCATGGGGAAGACCATTTTCATACTATACCTGAGAAGGGGAAGGCTTTTCACATACTGCCATGTCTCTCATTTTTTCTTCCAACTTTGCAGCTGAGTCTCCAAGGCAAATACCACTGGTACTGAAAAATAATTGACTGGTTTTAGGTGAAAGTAACACAATCATAAATAACACGATTGCCACAAGAAAGAGGGGCATGAAAAGATATACAGTTTTTAAAAGCAAAACCTGTAGAAACATTAGCAATCATGACTGACTTAAACTTTAGGCTGGAAAGCTAATAAAACAGTAACATTATGCGATATATTTCTTTATTTATATAAAATAATTTCATATCTATATGATATATATTCTATTATATCCCTTAATTAAATAGGTTAAATACAGATGTTTATTTCAATGCAGTGCAGCCACCTCTAGCATTGTACATACCAGCTTGCTTTACAATCTCACAAAGAATATAAAAAGTGGTAGTGGCAATACAGTCAAATTAACTGCTAGACACAAAAGGCTTGACCTAGGGTTCCCAAATTCCTAATAAAAATGTATGGATGTTAATTTTCTTTTGCTAAGCAAATTTTCCCTTTGGTGGAAATGAAGATTTGTGGAGAAGGAAAAATAGAATCACAGAATGGCCTAGGCTGGAAGGGACCTTAGAGATCATCTCGTCCAACCTCTCTGTCATGGGCAGGGACACCTCTCAACTAGATCAGGCAACACATGGGGACTGAGCGGGAAAAAACAACAGAGAAGAAAGCAGAACATGGAACACACGGAAGTATCGAAACTGAATTATACTGAGTTGGCAAGAGTGTCACGATAGGAAAATGAATGTTAAAACTGGCATGAAATAATGCTACTGAACAAGATAGGTTATTCCATTTACATAATGATAAAAACACTTCTGAAAGGACCACTCATGGCAAAATACAAATATATCAGAAAGCTCTAAAATTAAAGCTCAAATAAAATGGCACAAGTACAACAAATTTTGCACTGAAGTCTAAAAAAAAATATGTTGAAATTAAATGGCTTTATATTGCAATAAAGAAACTATGAAAGATTTTATTTAAAACTAGATCACATGACATACTAAGACTAGTAAATACATTTTGTTATCACATTATCAGTGAACCCAACTTACTCTAAGTCAGACTGACTTGGCACTGGAGAGAAATTCCTATGTTGGGTAAATGCAGTATTGCTGTTAGATTTTTCTCTTTTTATCTGAAAAAAAGAAAAACAAAGAATGGCCAACAAAATCATGTAAAAAAATCCCTAGTGCAAAAGATGCCACTGAAAAAGGCAAGGAGGGAAGATTACAAGGTTCTAAGAGAAAGTGTAAAATGAAATGCTTTCCTTTTTACTGCATATACAATTGTCTGTGTAGAAAATGAGATCTGTGTAGGCTTTGGTATGTGTAATCAACAGAACTGAAAATCTGAGTATGTACAAAAAGACATTCAACATCCTCAGTGTGAAAACCCTGCAAAAATTGGATCACGAAATTGGGGATGTCTAAAAAAACCAATCCTAAATACTTAGTAGAGGTTGTTTTGCTTCCCCATTCCCCCATCCCCATGTCACACGAGCATAAATGTAACATTAAAAACAACACCTACAACTGTCACAGAACATAACCTGACAAAAAGCAAGAAAACTTGATGGGTTTATGTTTCAGTGACAGCCAACAAACACCGTTTTCTTAAATTCAGGAGTGACGGGCATTTACTACTTCTTCCTAGTTACATTTTGTTAGACAGAATCACAGAACCTTAGAGGTTGGAAGGGACCTCGAAAGGTCATCGAGTCCAACCCCCCTGCCAGAGCAGGATCACCTAGAGTAGGTCACAGAGGAACACGTCCAGGCAGGTTTTGAATGTCTCCAGAGAAGGAGACTCCACAACCTCACCGGGCAGCCCATGCCAGTGCTCTGTTATGTTCACAGTGAAAAAGCTTTTCCTAATATTTTTATAGAACCTCTTATCCTCCAGCTTGCACCCACTGCCCCTTGCCCTACCACTAGACTTTCCAGAAAAGACCCTGGCTCCATCCTCCTGACACTCACCCTTTTACATATTTATAAACATTAATAAGGTCACACCTCAGTCTCCTCTAAGCTAAAGAGACCCAGCTCCTTCAGCCTTTCCTCATAAGGGAGATGTTCCACTCCCTTCATCATCTTTGTGGCTCTGCACTAGGGTCTTTCAAGCAGTTCCCTTCTTGAACTGAGGGCCCCAGGACTGGACACAATATTCCAGATGTGGCCTCACTAGGGCAGAATAGAAGGGAAGGAGGACCTCTCTCAACCTACTAGCTACTCCCCTTCTAACACACCCCAGGATTCCATTGGCCTTCTTGGCCACGAGGGCACATTGCTGGCTCATGGTCATCCTGCTGCCCACCAGGACCCCCAGGTCCCTTTCCCCTGCGCTGCTCTCCAACAGGTCAGTCCCCAACCCATACTGGCACATGGGGTTGTCCTTTCCCACGTGCAAAACTCTACACTTGCCCTTGTTGTCTTTCATAAAATTTCTCCCTGCCCAACTCTCCAGCCTGTCTGGGTCTCACTGAATGGCAGCACAGCCCTCTGGTGTGTCAGCCCCTCCTCCCCATTTTGTGTCCGCTGCAAACTTGCTGACAGTGCTCTCTGTTCCCTCATCCAGGTTGTTGATGAATATATTGAATAGTACTGGCCCCAGTACTGACCCTGAGGGACATAGCAGAGAATTAATAAAAATTAAGACCAAATCAAACCAACCCACTCGAAACTTAGAATAATTGCTACAGAGGTTCTGCTTGAGGTAATAGATTTCAGACTTTGATGAAAACTAAAGCACTTGTGAGCTTGCAACACAGGAAAATATTATGGAAGGATCCTAGAACTATAATAGCACATTAATTACACAGTTAACTTAAAAAGCAAAGCAAACAAACAAACAAGCATTTAAAAATCACAGTAAACAGACAAATAATGGAAAAAGTAGTTGAAGTGAAAAAGATTTCTTTCCCCCCTTGTACTGCCTTCCATCTCTTTAAACTATACTTCATTTAAGTTAGTTCATATGTACTTCGCCGTGCATTTCAGAAGTGAGTTTGGATCACTATTAGGATTCTGACAATTTTTTGCACGTATGGAAATAGGATCACCAATATGAAGACAACAGCTCTGCTCTCCAGAGAAGGATGTTAGCAATTGTTTCACTAGACTCTGCCTTGGAACAGTACAAAAGGCAAGTCCTGTTGATTCTCACTCTTGCTTTTGCCTTTCTCACGTTTCACAGTAGATTTCTGATCTAACAGAAAGTACTAAGAAATTGATGTTCATAGCCTGTCAGCTCAACAACACTTCACACAGGAGACAACCTGTATATTAGAGTAGGCAGGATTCAGAGATTTATAATATATGTGCAGCCTTGAATCACAACATACCAGACCATATTCTGAAATACACATAGGTTATCAGCTGCAAGATTTTTCTAATGAAGCAACTGAATAAACACAACATAAATTTTACCAACAGAATCCTGTAGCCCGGCCAACCCATCAACACATGGATTGTTTCCCTCAAGTGGAATCCATGCAGTATGCTTTTAAATCCAATGAGAAAATTTGTTCAAAAATTAAAGATAAAAGAATTAAACTTCTGCCTTAAGGCTAAATACAGCACATACTGTTAAGAGTGCCTTATTTACCTTCTCAAATGCTTCTTTTGCAGCATCTTGTTTTGCAGCAGCTGAAGAAGTTCCGGTACCATTTCCATACAGAAAACCACTAATTAAACAGCTACAAGAAAACCTGTAAAAGACAACAGGGAATAAAGTCTTATCTCGTATGTGACAAGTCTTAACTGAATGTTTTTAAATATAGCATTCAATCGCCATTGTAGAATGGAGATCTAAAATACCTATTTTCAGGACAGTATTGCCAATATACATTTAATCTAATTAATAATGATAGATAACTAATTTGGCATGCCTTCAAGATAACCAGTTTTAAAAGAGTAACTATTTAGCACTTTCTAAGGTTGAACTCCTGAGAGCATCATATCGTATGTACCCACAATTAACAATTAACTGCAGTTTAGGTTTTAAAGTGGCTGATTTTGCAGTAGAATACAAAAGGAGTTTTCCAGCAGATATTGTCAAGAGAGTTAAAATACATAGATATTCTTTATCATGCCTAAGCTGTCACTAACTGGAACATTTCTACAGCTCCCTGACTGCAATACATAGAGAAGGAAACACAAACAAGCTTTTCTCAGCACTTGGTTCCTAGGGGATCTCCAAAATACATGTCAAGAGCTCCTCAAAGGTGCCAGAGCTATAACCAAGATAACTGATGTGTCAATGCTAACTACCATTTTATCATGTCACCTCTTCTGCCACCTAAACAAACTCAGTGCTCTTTATCTTTTATATCCTCCAACTCCTTAACCACCTTAAACACCTTCCACTGGATTCTCTTGAGACTACCTCAATTTTTATTGTATTTCTAAAGATTCATCTAACATTACTCATGGTAACACAAAGAAGTATTAAAAATAAGTATGAAGACAAAGTATATCTTACATTCCAGTACATTCCCTTATATGATAATCCACTTTTTGCAACGTTCTTTGTGAAAACGTATTTAGTAGGCTGACATAGTCGATGTCTGGTAATAAGGTCACTGGTGTTGAAGGACTCTCTAGCTACAATACAAACAAAATAGGTAACTTAAAAACTTAAACTTAATAAATAGACAAAGATAATCAATGCACAAGATCTAATGTAGCTGCCAGGTTTGTAAGTATTTCAAAATATTTTTAAGAAATTCCAAGTTGGCAAAGTCTCTTGTGCCAAAGGACAGCCATCCCAAGCCAGTATTATTACATTTTGAATTTACAAAGAAACACAGATGAATGAACAGCAGGGTGGATTGAAAACTGGCTGAAAGCTAGAGCTCAGAGGGTTGCAATTTGTGGTGCAGAGTCTAGCTTCAGGTCTGTAACAACCGGTGCTCCCCAGGGGTCAGTACTGGGTCCAGTCCTGTTCAGGGTGAAGGGACAGAGTGTACCCTCAGCAAGTTTGCCCGTGACACAAAACTGGGAGGGGTGGCTGACGCACCAGAGGGCTGTGCTGCCATTCACCATGATCTGGACAGGCTGGAGAGTTGGGCAGAGAGAAACCTTATGAAATTCAACATGGGCAAGTGTTATTCCTCCCACCTAGGGAGGAATAGCCCCATGTATCAGTACAGGTTAGGGGTCAACCTGCTGGAAAAGCATCTCTGCAGAAAAAGAACCCAGAGTCCTACTGGACAACAGGATGACCATGAGCTAGCAATATGCCCTTGTTGCCACGAAGGCAAAGGACATCCTGGGGTGCATCAAGAAGAATGTGGCAAGTAGGTCGAGGGAGGTTATCCTCCCTCTCTACTCTCTCTGGAGTACTGTGCCCAGTTCTGGGCTCCCCGGTTCAAGAAGGACAGGAAACTGCTGGAGAGAGTAAAACAAAGTGCAAAGATGATCAGGGGACTAGAACATCTCTCCTCTAGACTAAAAAGACCCAATTCCCTCAGCCTTTCCTTATAAGAGAGAAGATTGACAGGGGATGTTATCAACACTTATAAACAGTTAAAGGGTGAGTGTCAAGAGGATGGGCTCAGTCTTTTGGCTGCCCAAAGAGAAGATGAAGTCTCGAACTCTGGATATATTCAAAACTCACCTGGATGCCATCCTGTGCAACCTGTTCTAGATGAACCAGCTCTAGCAGTGGAGGTGGACTAGATAGATGATCTGCAAAGATCCCTTCCAACCCCCAACATCCTGTGATTCTGTAAATTCAGTTTTCCAAGTATCAAACCAATGCCTTTAACAACCTATCACCATGACTCCTTTCACCTCTTAAGACAGGGAACAACCTTTGAAATGTCTTATAAAGAAAAAGCAAATGCTTCTTTCTGAATTTTCTTACAGCCTAATGAGAGCAAAACAAAGGGATGGCAGCAGGATGCTGCTGATGTTGCATTAGCAAGGGCTGAAAATGCTCCTGTGCATATACAAGAGGGAAAAGCAGGACTTTTTCAGCTGTCTCATGATAAGCAGCATTAATAATATATTAGCAAACATGCAACAATTGGGTTAAAGTGGGAACCCAATAAAAACCATATAAAAACAGGTAAGGGAAGATTTCATTCAAAAAGGTGTTATGAAGGATTCAGAATCAAAAAGAAAAAGAAACAATGGCTACCAGAGAACATATTGCAGAAAACAGAGGAGCAAAAGTCAAACCTAAACTAAATCAAGGAAGGAAAAAGAGTATAGAATCAGCTATATCATAAAGAATATAAAGACAAAGAAACAAAGATAAATCAGATCAAGTGAAAGCAAGCAATTTTATGAGCAGACTGGCACCAGACACACTGAACAAGGCCCTGCAAACATTTTGAGGGCATCAACTAAAGAAGTTGTCGAGACGAAAAAGAAACACTGTCTACTCTGGATATACCAACGCAGCTTAATAAAGGCAAATACCTTTCCTCATCCTGTCTTGGGTATAGTGATCATGAAATGACAGTTTTTAATACCTGAAGAAGTAAGGAGAGGGGTCAACAGAACAGCTACTTTCGACTTAGGAAGGGCAGATTTTGTGCCACTTAGTAGCCTGGTTGACAGAGTCCCTTGGGAGGCAGTCCTAAAGAGCAAAGGAGTCTGGGAATGCTGGACATTCTTCAAGAATGAAATCTTAAAGGCATAGGAATAGGCCATCCCCATGTGTCAAAAGACAGGCCAGCTGGGAAGATGACCAGGCTGGCTGAACAAAGACCTCTGGCTGGAACTCAGGAAAGAAAGGAGAGTTTATGACCCTTGGAAAAAGGACTAGAAGGATGTCGTGATGTTATGCAGAGAAAAAATTAGATGAGTCAAAGCCCAACTAGAACAATTGGACTACTGCCATAAAAAAAAAATATTAAAAAGTTTCTAGAAATACATTAACAACAAAAGGAGGACTTAAGGAGAATCTCTATCCTTTACTGGATATGAGGGGAAACATAGTGACCAAGGATGAGGAAAAGGCCGAGGTCCTTAATGCCTTTCTTCCCTCAGTCTTTAATAGTAAGACCACTTGTTCTCCAGTACCCAGTCCCTTGAGCTGTAAGACAGGGAACAGAATGAAGACCCATAACCCAAGTGGAAATGATCAGTGACCTGCTGCTCCACTTCGACTCACACAAGTCTATGGGGTGGGATGGGATGGGATCTACCCAAGGATCTGAGGCAGCTGGCAGAAGTGCTCACCAAGCTACTTTCAGTCATTTATCAGCTGTCCTGTCTAACCGGGATGGTCCCAGTGGGCTGGAGGTCAGCAGATGCGATGCCCATCTGCAAGAAGGGGCAGAAGGAGGATCCAGGGAAGTACAGGCCTGTCAGTCTGACCTCACAGCTGAGGAAGGTTAAAGAGCAGATCATACCGAGTGCCACCACACAGCATGTATAGGAAAACCAGGGTGATGAGGCCCAGTCAGGATGGATTTATGAGGCACTTGATTAACCTGATCCTGTTCTATGACAAGGTGACCTGCTTAGGGGAGGAGGGAAGACTGTGGATGTTGTCCACCTGGGCTTTAGTAAAGCCTTTGACACCATTTCTCACAGCATTCTCCTGGAGGAACTGGCTGCTCATGGCTTGGATGGGCATACACTTCACTGGATGAAAAACTGTCTGGATGGCCATGCCCAAAGAGTGGTGGTGAATGGTATTGCTTAGGGACATGATTTCCTGGTGGGCATTTCTAGGTTAGCAGTTGGACTTGATGATCTTAACGGTTTTTTACAACCTAAGCGATTTTATGATCCTTCCATAACTGCAGAGGAGGAAGCACTCTCAAATACTACATACCAATCCTGTACAACAGTAAGGAAAAGAGTTCAGCATCAAAAAAGTAGAAAAGCACTGAATAAGATAGAACAAAGATAACAAATAAATAATTCTTTCAAATTAAAGAACACAATGATATCAGCTACTTTTAGAGATTCATCTTCAACCTTTACTAGCAGAAAAAAAACAAAAAAAGAATAAATCAAATTCTACAGTTTACTCACCTGTTTCTCAATCATTTCCCAGGTGTTTTTTGCTGCTACTGCTTTTGCTTCCTTCTTATTTTTACCAGTGCCTGTACCATATTCTACATCATTAATTTTAATGACAATCGTGAACCTGCAATGAAGGAAACTTTTCTAAAATGTTGTTACATTTTCTCTCATACAAACATAGTAATCTAAGATTCAACTTTCTTGTTATTATCTGCAAGCGATTGTAGGTTAACTGTGGAGGTATTTTAGTATTCATGTGATTTTATTACATCTAACTCCTGATTATCATAGTTCTTTAGTAGAAATATTTTTAAATGTTTCCTTCCTAATCACAAATGCATGTACTTTACTATTTCTAACAGTGTTTTTAAATACTTAACTGCTTTTTAAAAGCAAAATTATTTACATTTTTAAAAGCAAAAGAGTACATACGATCATCATTGTTACAGATGAGGTTATGAAGCCCTAACACCACGACACAACTCAGCACTGCAAAACTGTAGAGATGAAAGATTAGCCAACCCAGACATGTCATTACACTCACCATCGATACAGTGCTACGTGTGCTATGTAGCATGCGCAAAAAAAGGTGTTACGAAACACCTTTTTTGGCAGTCCCAAAAAACAAACAAAAGAAACCAGTTCTGCCCTTCCGTACTGAACCACGAAACCTTTCCCCTCCATTGTGCAACTGTGCACACACTACTTCCCATATAGCAATTCCTTGAGTCAGAACAGGGAGCCTGTGCAGCTCAGGAATGACTGGGATGGAGCTAACGTTCTTCATGGCAGCTGGTACGCTGCTATGTTGTGGATTTGGGACTAAAACAACGTTGGTAACACAACAATGGCTTATCTACTGCCGAGCAGCATTTGCACAGCATCAAAGTCTTTTGCCCCACTCTGGCCTCCCAGCAAGTAGGCTGAGGGTGTGTGAAAAGCTGTGAAGGGACACAACCAGGGCAGCTGGCCAGAGGGATATTCCATTCCATAAGGCATTGTGCTCAGCAATAAAAGCTTGGGGAAGAAGAAGGAAGATGGGACATTTCAAAAATTCACCATTCTATTTAAGCATCCTGAGGAAACGTGCACTGTGAGTCTCAATGACCCATGAGCTAATTATCCGAGCTGAGGATTATGTGATGGAGTGCTACATGAGTTGATCCCAAACGTACAGTCATGCTCATCCACCATGGACCCCAAGTTAATCAACACTGCCCAAACTTGACAGGTTTAGGCAGGACTGGCCTGGTTATCCACACAGTGTGTTCCCAGCCCAAGAAAGCTCGCAGCCACTTAGGACTGAGCCAGCCTGCGTTCTCTCAGTCTTCTTACATTGCATTCAGCACTGACCATGCTAGACACTGCAGTGGAAGCAACTACAGCAGCAAGACCCGTATAGAAGGAAATGACAGGAAGTGTCTTTGCATCATGCCTCAAACAACTGCAGAAGAACTTATGAGACTGGACATGGCACAGAAGAGTTGGACAGGGAAGCAGAGAAGAGGGAGCCAGCACAGGCCCAGCAGCGGACAATGCAGTCTGTTACCAAGCAGAGCACTGGAAAAGAGCATCGCAAGGGCACCAAAGGAGGTTTCCAGCATTCATCACTGTAGCCACAGTACATTGTACTCCTTGGAACAGCCCAAGTTATCCAGGGTGTTCCTAGATACCACTGTCACACCTCATGTCACAGATACAAGACAATGGGTTGAAATATATTTGTGAATGTAGCAGAGCACACACAAAAAAGTGCAATAAATGGGATAAATCAGTGAGTTTTAAACACAAATTCTGTCAGTCCCATAACATCACTTTAGAAGCATGAAGATGCAGCAATGTGTGACCACAGCTGTGGCCAAAACTGCAATAAGGGTTACTTTTTTGAATTACATGAGCTGCATGGGGAAAAAGTTAGGATAACATTTGAGACCCAGACAATATCTATTAATTTCTGGGACCATGATCAGGTCTATGAATAAGTCAGGACAGAGAGTGCCAACTTGCAACATAGAAGACATTAAAAGAAATATATTAATTATTAACATAAGGCTTATCTTCATGAAAACTAGCGAATTTTTTAAAAAAAAAAATTACACAAGGAAATATCATAGATCTTGAGCATCTGTAATCTCTGGCAAGGGAAAAAAATTAGCAAACCCCATCTTTCTGTTAAAAAATAAAACACATTTCATCACCTGTAATTGTCAATAAAAGTAAAAATAAAATAACTTAAACAAAAGACCCTTCTCCTGTAATAGCTATTGAAAAATTAACTACATAGAAAACATGTTGGTACTCAATCACTTAATATACACCTAAACTTCATGGTTAGAAAGTAACAACATAAATCACAAATAATTTCCATGCTTTGTAAAACTAAATAAAAAACAAAGCACTTAAATTAGCATAGATAATAAACTGAAATACTTGCTGCAACCCACTCTATCTCCAGAAAGATTTCATGGCAAATGCATAATATACAATATAGTTACCAGTAACAGGTATATTGCCATCGCTTTCAAGAGATGGGCTATCAACTCTGAAATCTTTAAATTCTACCATGTTACATCCTCCTCACCCAGCTACCACTCAGTTGTGGTTTCAGCAAGCTCTTCTGCCATACATACTCTTCCAGCAAATTAACTTTTATGACTGCAATCTTTGCCCAGTTTGCTCGTTGCAGGAGGAGTCCCAATGTTTATTAACACACACAGTGAACTTACTCAGGATCATGAGATGGGCCAGTCATGCTGACGTTGGCATAAACCAAAGTAAGTTTATTCTTTTGACAGTAATGGTTGATCTTCTCCATACACTCACGTGCCATTTTGACACAATCTCAAGAAGATTCTGCAAAGCAACATTCAAAGATAAGTCTGTGCCTCAAGGTGCAGTATAGAGACAGCCTTTAATCCTGGCAGGTCATTGCCGTAATATAACATAGAGAACTTGTGCTAGTAACATAAAGTTGATGGAAAACTATATTATAATTCAGTTGGTTGATCTGCAACATCTTTTGAAGATTCATTGCTTGGAACAGCAGCTTTAGAAAGCGAAGAATTCGGTAATTACAGAAGATGCCTTTGCAGAAGGGAAAAGGCTGAATCATCCCCCGAATCCCGTGAGAAAAAAGAACAAAAAAAAATCATAACGTTTCTCCAGTCAGAATTAGGATCGATTCCTTAAACGGTGGAACTGAAAGGCATTTTAAGATACCGCTTCCAACCGTGATGACCGCCAGGCTCAGCGACACGTACCGCAGAGGACTG